CTGATCACTTTCCCAGGGCGGGCGTGGGAAAGGCGGAGCCTCAATCGATTGGAAGTGATTAGAGATTATGTTCGCGGAAGAGACGCAGAGTCCAGCGCGGGAGTGCAGATGCTAATGCAAGCGACACTGCGTTTGGTAAGCCCTGTAAGCTTCTTCTTATTGCTCTACTGAAATCATCCGATATGAAAGGAACGCAAGATGGGATTTTGGCAGGCTGGTTAACTGCATGTGGTCTGCGTGCTTGCCGACAAGTGTACTTTGATGGTTATCGCTTGTAAGATAACCATTGGCTTGCTCGACGTTTTTGGCGAGATTCAGCGATTCCCCGCGCTCGCAAGAATTGGACGAGACCGCCTTGGCTGTTTTGAACATGCTGCCTACCACCGACCTTTTAGTGTTGTTGGGATGAGCAGAGCGGTAATGTACAATAATGTTCCTGCTACTGGGCTTACGATACCACTTAACTTTGTATGAGCCATTGCATACATGTATCTGCACATCAAGAAAGGCCAACCAGGTTGTCACGAGGTGTCTCCCGAGTGAACTTTATGTTGGGAGACTGGCTGTTGAGAAGATTGTAGCAGATGTCCATTTCTTCTTGCGTAGGGCATACAATGCAACAATTATCTATGTAGCGGCAGTATAGCAGCGGCCTTCGCGCAAGCACAGGGCTTTCAATTTTAGACATGAAGGCTATGGCTACAGTGGGTGCCAAGCGCTGCCCCATGGCTAACCCTCTTACTTGCTGGAAATACTGCCCCGACCACCGTAAAGTGTTACAGCTTGGACATTCACCCAGTAGTGTCATGATCTGCCTGATGTTGAGTCCGTGCATGTTCAAAGAGTTCTAATGCTCGCGAGAAGGCCGCTGCTATACTGCCGCTACGTAGATGATTGTTGCATTGTATGCCCTACACAAGAAGAAATGGACATCTGCTACAATCTTCTCAACAGCCAGTCTCCCAACATAAACTCCACTCGGGAGACACCTCGTGACAACCTGGTTGGCCTTTCTTGATGTGCAGATACATGTATGCAATGGCTCATACAAAGTTAAGTGGTATCGTAAGCCCAGTAGCAGGAACATTATTGTACATTACCGCTCTGCTCATCCCAACAGCACTAAAAGGTCGGTGCTAGGCAGCATGTTCAAAACAGCCAAGGCGGTCTCGTCCAATTCTTGCGAGCGCGAGGAATCGCTGAATCTCGCCAAAAACATCGCGCAAGCCAATGGTTATCCTACAAGCGATAACCCGTCAAAGTACACTCGTCGGCAAGCACGCAGACCACATGCAGTTAACCAGCCTGCCAAAATCCCATCTTGCGTTCCTTTCATATCGGATGATTTCAGTAGAGCAATAAGAAGAAGCTTACGCTACGCCGGGCTTGAAGAGCACGTTAGGGTTGTAGATATCCCCCCCCCCCCCAATCTCAAAAAACAATTGGTACGTAATCGCGCATACGACCGCCTGTGCCCAAGTTTTCATTGCGCTGTGTGACTATATGGGACCAGGTGATTGCTTGGAGTCGGGAGTGGTCTACGTTATCACATGTCAGCTGTGTGGGGATCAATGCATGGCGGAGGCTGGTAGGCCTTTATGCGTTAGGATCAAGGAGCGGACGGCCTCGAAAAGTCTAAGTTATCCACAGCCCTAGGTGCGCATCGCAGGCAATGCCATAGCGACAACTTATTTCCAACAACAGTCACGATCTTGTCGCATGAGCCCGAACTAATAGCTCGCAAAACGTTAGAGGCTTTTTGGATCACCTCAAAAAACCAACAAAAATGAACCGTAAAGACGAATGCATCGCCGTGACCAGAGAGCTGGCCCAACATCAAACCCTCTGTG